CAGGGGCACGCCATGTCCGACACTTCCTACTGTCAGGTTTCCGACAAAGGGGCGGAGACAGTCAGGGTTAGTTGTAGTAAACCTGCTAGGGGGCAGGTTAGCTTCACGGAGTGTGTCGTCATAGTGACTCACTCAGGCTTCAGCTGAACTCGCTTTGTGAAACCGAAAACCCAGAGTTTTCGTTAACTCAGGGTATACTTACTCAGTTTTTCCACTAAACCGGCTTCCTGAAATAGGCCCCAGGTTTGCCACTCCTTTGTGTAGTTTATCCCAGTTTAGTTCGTCCTTAGTTCTGTTTGCCATCTCCACTTTATGTCTGGTATTGTTAATAAATCACCCTTCACATCTGAATAAGTGCATTTGAGTCCTCCTTCCACTCTTCACACGGCCGCTGCCCCGAACCGTGACAGTGACTGTGTGTGAGACCTGACTTGCACAGCAGACTTTGTTGAGAAAATGATATGCATTCATTACTGTGCCGCTTCTGGTTCCCATCAGTTAAATGCAGAATGGTCTGATGCTGTTTCTCTTCTGTTTAGTTTCAGTCTCTGATGTCTACAAAACTCTCAACTCTACTCCGGGAAACCTGAAGAAACAGAGACCTCCAGTGGCCAAGCTGAGCACCTGCTGCTGAAAGAAATAGAAGAAATTCACGCATTGTTTGCATTGTGGAATAATTCCTCAGCATATCTAATTTGCCACAAAGAAAATCAGCCATATTTTTGTGGGATTAAATAAAATAACAAAACAAAGCAGTATTTAGTGTTTTTATGAAATAAATTACATGAAATGATTTATCTTATATTGTCTCCTGAATGTTGCCAGCACAGTCTGTTGTGTCTGTTGAACCTTTAACAGGGAAAAATGAATCAGTCAGCAGCAAACAGAAACACTGGCTACAGCAGCATCCGCTTCTTATGTTTTGGAAGGACTCACACACAAAAAGCAAGTATACAAGAACGCAACGTACCATCATCGTTGCAAGTGACATTGTTTTAGTTGAGCTGCAGACTTTTATGGGTATAAAACAATGAAGAAGTTTATAGTGAAAAAATATATGCAAACTCAGTGCAGACATACCACACAATCACAGACAAGTCTAAAAAAACAACCCTGAAGAAAAACAAGTTGCTTTTCTTTCTGTTTTTGTATCCCCAGGAAGTGAAAAGCAAGAGAAACATTTATATTTTTGCCATTTCCCAGTAATCTGTATCAGATCCTCAAGTAAAGATCATTGAAATAACCTGAGCAATCGCACATGATGAATTTTTAACAGGAAAGAAAAAACCTTACATAAACTATTTATCCAATTAGTCATGATGAAATGTGTTCATGTAGAATAAAATGCAACTTTTAATTATGGGAGATGTTAATGAACAGAGAATTGTGTCGGTGAATGCCATCAGGGGTTTGTCAGCAATATTATTCTGATGTACCTTTGTCCCACCTGATTACCTTCATTAAACAGCAGCAGGATAGATGGTGGGTCTGCAGAATGACACACGACATGCAGAATCTTTTATGTTCCTCATTTTGTGTCATTTTTATCTTTTATAATATTTTTTTAAACGTTGAATAATAATATTGTCTTATTAAATTAGAATTTAAAGTGCTTCAAAAACTGCGAGCCACACAATAAAACACAACAAACTTGCATGTCCTTACAAAAAAATTCAAGATTAAACAGGTTTATTGTCACTGTGTTATGGCAAAGTTACAGCTATGGTGCGTTGGAGTGTGAGATTCAAAACAAGACAGAGGTAAGTACAGATCCTTTATTAAAAGTATAAAAGATAACAACATGAAAAATATTTTCACTACAGTCATGCATAAAACAGTTCCTCCTGTTCGAGGTTAACATAGCAGATCATCTCCCTCCAGCTCCGTCTATTGCCAGCATCCTCCTCTGTCACACCAACACTCTGCAAGTCCTCCTGATGGCTGACCCCAGTTGTGTACTCCTCGCATGCTCACCTTTCCACCTGTCTCTCTCTCTCATTCACACACATGTATTTTGTCTTTCTTTTATTCCTCTTCTCTACAATGCATGCCTCCACTGCTCCAGGCTCTTCATCTGCTCCCTACTGTCACTACAGATCAAAGTATCATCTGCAAACATCATAGTTCACATAGACTTCTGCCTCATCTCATCAGTCAGCCACATCACCATTGCAAACAAGAACGAGCTCAGAGCTGATCACTGATGTAATCTCATTTCCTGAACCTACCTGTCACTAAAACGTTCGCTTCAGCACTGCCTCACATCCTTATGTCTTATGACCTGGCCCATCCTCACATACTTCTCTAGATCCAAAAATACCCAGTGAAACTCATTCTGTCCTTCTATATTCTTCTCTATCAACACTCTCAAAGCAAACGTCACATCTGTATTCCTCTTTCTCAGAATAAAGTCATACTCCTTACTGATCATCACTTCTCTTCTTAACTAGCTTCAACAACTATTCCCCATATCTTCATGGTGTGGCTCATCAGCTTTATTCCTCTGTAGTGACTACAGCTCTGCACATCACCCTTGTTCTTGAAAACTGATACCAGTACCAGAGGCGGAGCCAGACATTTGAAACACCCGGGGCTTAGCCCTAAAGGGTAGTATGCATGTGTTTTTGTTTTTGTTTTTTTTGGGGGGGGGGGGTTTAGAAATGACTGAAAGATTAATAGGCTCTGTTTTGAGTTTTGTTCAAAAAAGAATGACTTCATATAGGGAAAAATATATATCACAATGCAGGACACCTTAAACTAGTTTTTTAATTAAGCAGCAAGGCAGAACAAAGTCGGGGCTGTATCAAGACACAGGGACTAAACCCCAATTCAACCAGACCCAGAACTGATCCGGAATTAAAACAGGACTACAACAGTTCAAACTATCAGCTACTTAGGATTTAACCAAGACAGAACCAGAATCAGAACTAGATGATAGTGCACTAAAAATCATCATAGACCTGCACTACACTTATTTTTTAATTCTACCAAAGTACAATATTTAGATTGAGAAAAGTTTATATAATTATTTAGCCTTGTTGTGCAAACAAGCCTAATAAATGTTCAAGCTTAATAAATGTAGAATTTGAAAAATAGCAAACCTAAAAAGAAACACTAGGTACGAGATACATGAGGACCTGTGATACTTTTGGTAAATAACCATTTGACTAACATGTCTGTCTCACCTGCTCTTGTTCATCTCTGTTCTGTCCTCATTCTCCTCTCTCTCCCTCTCTGTTCCTCTCTCCTCTCTGTTCCTCTCTCCCTCTTTGTGCTGACAATCATCAAATATACAGTTGAAACCAGATATTTATGTACTCTTCAGATCAAAACACAAACACTTTTTTAATTGTAACATCAAATCAGACTAAATGTTTATTTTTTTAGATTGATAAATATAAAAAACATATTTGTTAACTTTAAGAGTAAAGAGAGAAACTATCTGTATTTCTTAATTGTAAATGGCACCAAATTGTATTCAAAATTGAGCCACACTTATGGAGCTCCACAGTTCTTTTCCTGGTGTTTTGGTTGACATCTCTTGATTTTCCCATGTCACAGAAACAGGCTCTGTGTTTTGCCTTATATGCATCCACAGCTGTGCCACCAATTTACTCACATGGACTCTACTAACCTATCAGAAGCTTCTTCAGCTCAGAATGGAATCGTCTGGAGTTTTCTTATTAATTAACAATAAACTTAGTGTACATGTACTCCTACATTTGATGAAAGTGATAAAAAACAGACAGCTCTGTCTCTCTTTATTCTGACATTTAACTAATTCAAAAGATATTTCAATATTTATCTAAAACAAAAGTTTACTCTAAATTGATGTTGTACAGTAAAAATGTTTTCTCCCTAAAGTGTATGTAAATATCTGGTTACAAATGTGAATATCCTGCTGTGTACTGAAATCCCTCTTGTTTTGCATAGAAATATACTGAACAACATACAAAGCATAATATATAAAATAACATTTACCTGAGTTTTTTCTTTGAAAGAAGCCTCTAATGTCCATTCTTATATTTCAGTACATAACTGAAACCGATTTAGTCGGGGAGGGTAAGAACTGAAAATATGAAATAAACACACGTAAGCTAAGACTCTCTAAAAATAGCATTTGTTCGGCTTTTCATTTCGCCATTTGTTGATTCACTTGAAGAGCAAGTAACGTAATATGGGTCAAGTGATCAGTTTGATATCAATCTTTCGTGATGCACCGTCATATTTACATTATTTGTACGGTACGAATGATTTGCTTTGGTACCTGGTCAAACTTAAGCTCTCCTTAGTATGGCTGGCTCCGTTTCTCCAACAGCGCACTCACAGGCAGCAGCTGCCCCGCCCCCTCGCTCAGTCGCTTAGTGCCTGAGCTCGGATCATACCAATATCAGGGGGGATTCACGCACAGTCGTAAATTCCCACAGTGTGCACTATGTGCTTCGAATATTGTGTGTACTTTTTGTTTTATACAGTTGTCAGCCAGGCATCTAACTATGAAAAAATTACACTCCAAAAGACCCCGGGCTTCTGACAAAACAACCCGGGCTTAAGCCCAGTAAGCCACCCCCACGCTCCGCCCCTGACCAGTACACTTCTTTTCCGCTCCTTAGGCATCCTCAGTCTGGCTAAAAAGTCCACCGCTGTCTGTCCTAGACACTTCCATACCTGCGGTTGATCCTGGTTAAAGGCATGTCATCAGGATCAATGGCCTTCCACTCTTCGTCTTCATTATAGCTGCCCTCACTTCCTCTTTACTAATTCTCTCCACTCTCTGATTCATTAACACTCTGATTCACTCTACCTTGCTCTGCCATTTGCTTCATTCATTATCTCCTAACAGTACTCCTTGTTACTGAGCAGTTTTCGCTGTAGTTAATTGCTCCTGTAAAATAGTCAGATGTCAGATGTCTATTCATATTAATGTACAGAATTCACCTGCTTGCTGCTACTACTGCACATTCACCCAGTGTACATACTATATATATATATATAATGTTCTTCCTCTACCCCCCCCCCATTTTTGCACATGTCGAGGAGCGTGTCAGGCTACATTTCACTGTGTGTTATACTTGTATAACTATGCATGTGACAAGTAAAGAACCTTGAACATTGAACCTATAGTTAACCACGCTAACCAGCTGCACATCCTTTCCAGCTCAATCTCTCTCTGTCACTTTTTTTTTAATTTTTTTTTTTATCTTATCTTCAAGTAGTCTCAACTTTATTAATGTAGTACTGTAACTCTGTTCCAGGCATACTGACAAAAGCACTTAAAGAACTCACTTTTAAAATATTACTCTGCTATGCTTTTACTCTTACTTAAACTCAAACTATGTCCACACACACTGATGTTTTTTAGGAATTTTGTTTGCATGTTTACGCGATAAATGGGCTGGCAGGAGTTTCTGAAAAGCTCCTATTTTACTGATACCAAAACACTATTTACGTTCAGACAAAAGGCCAAAGCTACGTTCACCAAAATGTACCTGTGACCGTAACCTCACACCGCCGCTTTTTCTGCAGCTCTTTTGTTTCTTTCAGTCTGTGGTATGTGTGTAGCCTCTTCATATTTTTGAGGTGGATTTAAACTGTTTCCAACACCATCCCTTTCATGTGAACGTGTAGGGGAAACCCTTGATTAGCTAAGCAAGTTCATGACCAGTTTTGTGTTACTGAAAGATATCCTGGGTATGTTAAACTAGCTTCACAGTACAGGGCCCTTGGCAGCTCATAGTCACTGAGTCAACCACAAACTCCTTTGTATACTGAATTGTTTTAGCACCATGAATACAAAGTAGAATATTAGTGAAGTGGAAATCATTTTACCATCATTTTCACCATCATCAGTCCTCTGCCAAATTATTTTAATCTTTCTACAGCTTTAGACAGAGCAGAGGATGGGATATAGGATATATGTCAGGTACATCTTTAAAAATAATTTTACCAGAAGTTACACATGTTCACATTCCAACTCTGTGTTACTCTGAGGCATGTATTTATGTCTACGTCTGAGTTACAGCTGATGGTTTTAGGTGATCCTTGTTGCACTGTATGTAGAGGGGTCATCAGTCTGTGAAAGAAACATTTTGGGGGTTCAGTCAACTAAAGAGTCAGCGAATCTAGAGATTCTACACACACTGAATCCATACATGCAAATTTGAACCCAGCAAACATCTCCCAATATTGGTGTCTATGTGGTGCAGATTTAATAAACCGAGGGAGGAAAATTAATACTTACACAAAGACACATCGATTTATCTTCCAAAGAATTATTAAATAAACATGTAGAAAATGGATATTTATCAAACTGTCTTACCAATAATGTCATTGGCTGATTTTTGTGGTATTTTATTTGTTGTTCTCAGGGTCCCTGAGTGACAGAAGGATTTCAAACTTTTAAATAATAAATATTTGCAGATATTAGACAGGTGTCAGTGTAGGTCACATATAAGAGTCATAAAGCATTCTGTTTTAATAGGAAGAGACACATTAAAATAGGACACAAAATAAGTCAAGAGTGAAAGTTACCTCTTCTTGTCTTTTTTTTAAGCAGGACAGCTATGAAAGTGGCTACACAAGCAAAGACTATCTGCCCCACTGCTACACCTGATGCAATGATCCAGAAGGAAACTGTGAGAAAAGCAGGAAAAATATGACACTGATTAACACTGACACATCAATCATGGATCACAGTGAAATGTAGACCTACTGAAGTCATTGTTATTAGCTCCAAATTGACTCAGATAGCATCACTCTATAAATCTGTGACTTTGAAAAAGTTTCTCACCATTATAATCAGCAGTAGCAGCAGCATACACCTGCTGGACCTCAGGAACCGTCACCATCACCTCTCTGTGAGGAGCAGAGAGCACTCGTGCTGCACATCCCACCTGTGTGCTGTGTTTACGTGAACCTGAGAGCACAGCTGTAGTGGTGACAGTGAATGTAGCGTTGGTGTTGGAAACATTGACAGTGTTGTACTGTGTGAAGTTGAGGTCTTGTTGTGAGACACTGAGTGTTATAGTGGGAGCAGGTCGACCAGTGGCTGAACAAGATACAACCCACTCTTCAGTAGAGTTTGACTCTCTGACATCAACAACAGGTTCGTGTAGCTCTGTGAAGGATCAACAAACACTTTAAGAAAAATGATTTTAAAATGCGATCAACATCTGACAAATTTTCATTTGTTATCTTTTTTGCTGGAGCCTATTGTAATTTGAAGAAGGTAAAAGTTCTTACCATAGACTTGGAGGCAGGGTCTACCAATAAAGGCTCCTTCAGGATAAGTGTTAAACAGACAGCGATAGCATCCTTCATCCTGCTCTGTCACATTCCTGATGACTATGGAACAGTTCCATAGACCAGCATGTTTAAACTTAACTTTATCTGTAAAGCTGTCATTCACTCTCTGGCCAAAGTACTTGTTGTAGGTGGCAACATTTGTCTCCACATCATTTGAACTTTTCTGCCATGTGACCTGAAGGACGTCTTTAGTTTCCAAGAGTTGACAGCTCAATTCAGCATCTTCTCCCACTGCTGCCATCACAGTCTGCTGTGTTTGGATCACTGCTGCTGCACCTTTAACAGAGAAAAATGAATCAGTCATCAGCAAACAGAAAGACTGGCTACTGAAGCATCTGTTCCTTACCTGTTTGAAAGACTCCACACACAAAAAGTAGATACACAAGCACACAATCTGCCATCGCTATTGCAAAGTAACACGTTTGAGATGAATAGGAGACCTTTTTGGATATCAAAAGGTGTAAAAGGTTGGTAGTAAGTGAATAAATGCACACTGAAACTACACAGAAATCAGGGCAGACATACCGCACACTCACAGTTGAGTTAAAAAGTAACTGAACGAAAACAATTGACTTCTCCTTCAATTCTTTTTTTTAACACAAGGAAGGGATCTGCATCAGATCACTTCCTTGTGCTTTCTCAGTAGTCTGTATCAGATCCTCAACAAGTTTACAAAAAACATCCTTTTTAACAGGAATGCCAAAAAGCAAAAAATATTACCTCAAACAAATTATCCCATCAGTTATGACCTGGTCGTGACCTGATGTCACACACACATGACCGTGGTTTTGCTGTTTGTCACATTATTAAAGTCAGCATTATGTACTGTAATATGCAGACATTAATCTGAGACTCTTTGGATCATTCTGAGTCTCATTAATTATTGCATTAAAACAGATATTTCAATGTTGTATATCAGATATCTGAGAACGAAGAAAACCAACTATGTGTTTGTGGTGTCGCAGAGCTGTATGACTGCACTTGTGTTCATTATGGGTCTGTTTCTATAATTTTGTTTCTAACGTGAATATTTGCACAGACTGACAAACTTCATGTTTCATTCAGTTTATGCAGACTCAATTTATCTTTGATTAAGAATAAAGATGTTTTACTATTATAGAATATGAATAAGCTCTGTTATAGCACTCTGTATCATTTTAAACATAAAAGGCTGGATGTTAAAACCTTTGACCCTCTTATGTGTTTTTAGCCACAGCTTTTTAATCAACTTTATTAAACAGCGGTAGAAATGTGACCATGTGCCATCACTGTTGCAAATGGTCAAGTTTTAGTTAAAGTGCTCTGGGCATAACACTCAGAGATAAACAAAGTAAATATAGACACAGACTACACAAGAAATACTAAGCTTTAACACCCACAGGCAAGCGTGGGTGTTTCTTCCCTTTTCATGCTTCTTCGCCTAATAATTAGAGTTACTATTGCATCAAGTTCCCATTAGTCTAATGCAGAGGAGGCCTTTGTTTGTAGGGTATTTTTATTTAAAGTTTCACGGTTCTGGGTCTTTTGACCTAGCGGTTTGTGTTTCTTACTATTATTATGTTCTTGCGTTCTAGCTTATTCTTATTAGACTTTTTAGTTCCAAGGGTTTTGATTCTGTGCTCCCTCTGTTTAGTGTCTGCCCGTGTGTTCCCTCTGTTCTGTCTGTATAGCGTCTCTGAGTCCAGTCTGTGTATTTCCTGTTTTTCTTTGAAGGTCCATGTCCTATTTCAGTATTTTTAGTTTCGGTTGCTCTGTCTTGTTAGGTCTAACTTCTCCCGACTGTGTTCCCACCCGTTCCTTGTTCCCTCATGTTCCTGCCTGTGTATTTATAGTGTGTGTCCTCCAGTGTTCAGCGTCACGCTGTACCCTCATCTTATGCTGTGTGTTCTGTTTGCCTGCCTGTGTAAGGTTATTTTTGTATTTTCAGTCTGTTACTTTTGAGTTCAGCATTAAAGCTGTTTTGACTTCACGGTTTGCCTCTATGAGTCCTGCGTTTGGTTCCTCCATACTGCCTGCCTGCACACAGCCTTGACATAAAGAGCCAACGTGATGCCTATTAGCTTCGGTAACTCTACCATTATATCACTGTATCAGGTGAGAAAACATCCTCCATCTCCACATAACTATGAAGCAGCATAGTTATCCTCTAAAGTCTCTGTTTACTTTGTTCCAAAACAATCATCTTAACCAGAGACGTCATCAGGACTTGTTCAGTAATTTACAGGACTGAACAACAACAGCACAAGTTCAGATTCTAATTTAGATTGTATGTCCACTGCAGTTTAATCTGCTATCATTTAGTTAATATGAAAACAATGTTAGTGTTAGATGTTTAAGTCTGTAGTCGGCTTCATGTTCGAGTTAATCCTGTAATATAGGCTAATATAACTGACGGGATTTCTAAACATCACCCCGCAGTTCTTCAGCTGTGACACCTGAGTTAGAAAACACAAACACTGCAGTTGTCTTTTACTTGCGAGGACGGTCACAGAGCGCTCTTCCTTGCAGGAGGCACTCACGGACTCGCGCTGTATCACTGTCAGCATTCTTTATTTATACAAGCTTGTGTCTGTGTGTACAAAGATAACAGAGTTATTCTAAGAACTCAGAGCTGAGGTTCCCCTTTTCTAAGTCTGCATGTTCTTACAGAAAGAGGAAGCTGTTAGTTGTTTATCACACAAGAGTTCATGTCAAAAGTCACATAGACATTTGCTTAGTGTTCAATAAAAGAACACATTTCATGAAGCTGATTACACTATATACAATTTCCCCCTGACAATAACTAAATCATTTTTTTTTAAAAATACAGTAAAAATACAGTTACAATTAACCCTTTTCATGCATAGAGGTCACTACAGTGAACAGCTATTCAAAGGCTGTTTGCTTGTATTTGTGTCAGTGTTCATTGTGTACTTGCACATAAACCACTACATTGGACACTGATGTGTCACTCCATCACAACTCTGGTCATTTAATGTTACTATAGATGTACGACATGTGTCATTTTAATTATTGTTATTTCATCCTGTCATGCATGAATTATGACAACCTCAATCTTTAGGCATGAAAAGATGAATAAAAATACTTAAAGAAAAAATCCTGATTGAGGTTGTCATAATTCCTGATTGAATGGGTTACACAATGGGTTACACTTTTGCAATGAAAATAAACCAATAACAACAAACAAACAAACAAACAAACAATTTAGGATTCAACAGCTTGAGGCTACGTCCACACGTACCCGGGTATTTTTGAAAACGCAGATTTTTCTATGTGTTTGCACCTTTTTTTCCACACGTAAACGGCGTTTTCGGTCACTGAAAACGGAGATTTCTAAAAACGCCTGCCAGGGTGGATATACGGGATTATTTTTTAAAATGAAAACGGAAAATCTCCGTTTTCAAAAATACCCGTGTACGTGTGGACGTAGCCTTATTGTGACTGTGCGAGGACGGAGCGCTGGAGTGTGACATTCAAAACAAAACAGACAAATATTAAAAAAAATCTAGTATTAAAGTATAAAGTGTCAGAAATATCAGCATTAAAAAAATAAAAATTAACAATTGAAATCTGGAAGAGTGGCTAAAAGCTCAGCCCCAACTGGGTCATGTTTAGGCACAACGAGCCTTAACAGATCTCCAAGCAAATGTCTAAAAAATAAAGGAATCGGGGTGTTGCAATGACCCAAAGTCAAGAGCTCAAACTGACTCAAATGCTGTAGTGGGATCTTCAGACAGCTGTACAAAAGTTCTGTCACTCACAGTAAAACATCATTCCTTTAGCTTATGTGCGTTTAGCTTCTGTGTCTGGTGCATTTGTTAAGATCAACTCACTTGGCAGAAAGTTCATATTAAACAGTTGTGTTGCTGTGAGCTGTGTGTTCACCACAGCGTGTTGCTTACAAGACGTAAGCAACACGCTTACGTTGATCGTTTTTTGGATTGTTGTAATTTGGTGTTTGTTCACCTTGTCGTTATTCTTCTTCATAGGTGCTCTGATTGTTCAGATAAAAAAAAACCCCAAATATATTTAAAATGTACTGAACTAAACTGAGTGAGGAAAATTAACAATTACACAAAGAAATCTTGAATGATCTTCCAACAAATTAATGAATAAATAGCATATAGAATATGAATTATCAAACAGTCTTACCCATGAATGTTATTGGTTGATTTTTCTGCTGTTTTACTCCTCTAAAGATCACTGAGTGATAGAAGGATTTGAAGTTTAAAGTCAATATTGTAAATATCTGCAGCTATTACTGGATAGATGTAGGTTTAGGCTCTTGGAGTCATAAATCATTATCATGTTAATAGAAAGAGATGCATTACAATAAGGCACACATTAAACCACATGTGAAAGGTACCTCTTCTTGTCTTTTTCGTCAAGCGGCACAGTGGAGCAACGAAAGGAACAAAGACCAACACCACTACTGCAGCTATTACAGTGATCGAGGAAGAATCTGTGAGAAAAAACAAAATATGACAGAGATCAAAACTGATACATCAGTCATGGATCAACTTGAGACTTACTGATGTCAATGATGTTAGATCCCAGTCAAACTGACCCAGAAATCACCAATCTGTAAATGTGCGAAAGAGTTTCTCACCATCACCATCATCATCAGGTGTCTGTTGGACCTCAGGAATCATCACAGTCAGCTCTCTGTGAGGAGCAGAGAGCACTCATGCTGCACATCCCACCCGTGTGCTGTGTTTACTAGTGATGGGTCGGTTGCGAACGAAATGGCTCTTCGAGCCGGTGTTCTGACAAACCATCCTACTATGGCAAAACGTCCTACCCGTAGGATAATTTTACGGTGTCCCCTGACAAACAGTCCTACTTTGGCAAACCGTCCTAACAGTAGGATAATTTTACGCTGCCTTATGACAAACTGCCCTACTTTGGCAAAATGTCCTACTGTACATAATTTATGCACATTTCTGCTGCCAAACAATAATTCCAGCACAAATTTAAGTAGGGTATGACGGTTTGCCACTTAACTTTGCCCATCACAGTATGTTTGTAGCTGATATTCATAAAGCCAGTACGGTTTGAGGCTTCTTTTTACCCATTAAAGTGTGCTTGTAGGTCACATTCACAAAGGTAGCATGTTTTGGCACGTAATTCTTCCCATCAGAATTATGCTTCTTGCTCTTATTAACAAAGGTAGCATGTTTTGGCACGTAATTCTTCCTGTCAGAATTATGCTTCTTGCTCTTATTAACAAAGGTAGCATGTTTTGGCACGTAATTCTTCCCGTCAGAGTATGCTTCTACTTTATAATAACAACGGTAGCATGTTTTGGCACGTAATTCTTCCTGTCAGAGTATGCTTCTAGTTTATAATAACAACGGTAGCATGGTTTGGCACGTAATTCTTCCTGTCACAATTATGCTTCTTGCTCTTATTAACAACGGTAGCATGTTTTGACACGTAATTCTTCCGATCAGAATTATGCTTCTTGCTCTTATTAACAAAGGTAGCATGGTTTGGCACGTAATTCTTCCCATCAGAGCATGCTTCTAGTTTATAATAACAAAGCTAGCATGTTTTGGCACTTGTTTGTAGAAGCAGTCTGCATGCCAAGGTACTTAAGTTATACAGCTGTCACCATTGAAGTGATTGGAACACCTGACTAT